ATCCTATATAATAAAGAGCTAATATGCTAATGGACATGACACCCTCATGCCGTAACAACCGATCAGGAGGCTGCATGTGCAGCAGGCACGTGCAGGTGGGTGGGGACTTGACTCTGGAGGACTTGACCGGAGTCGTGGGCGGGTTTCTGGGCCCTGCCTCCCGTGGTGGTGGCGGGGGTGGTGGCTTCGGGACTCATTCTGGGTGGGAGGGCGGGGCTGTGTGCGGGAGGAAGTGCATGTGGGGAGGGATTCCAGGACTAGTATAATATAACTGTCAGGATTTGCCTCGCCTCCTGACCTCATTCCCCAACAAGTTGCCTGAGGCAATATAGAGAGCAAGTAGAGTGTGGACTAATTTAGAGGACTCTGGAATTAAAGGGTAAACTGTTAGCAGAGACGGACACAAAAATTTCTCCCATCTTTGAATGCACATCACTTTGTGATAGGATGATGTAGAGCCTTCCATCAGAAGGTAAAGTCTATTGCCCTGCCTGGACTGGGCTGGTGACTTGCTTTGAGCAATAGAATGTAACAGAAGGGACACCATCTGACTTCTGGGCCAAGGTATCAAAAGGCCTGATAGCTTCTGCCTTAACTCTCTGGAACTCACAGCCCCATGTGATGAAGTTTGGTTGAGCTCAGGGACCGGCAGAGTTGGGCTCTTGGGCCTAACCCACCCCATCATCTGCTTTTGTAAATCAAGTTTTACTGGAAAACAGTCATGCACATTTGTTAATGTAGTATCTATGACTGCCTTCACATTATAACAAAGTTGAGTAGTTGTACCAGGGACTAAGTGCCCCACAGAGCCCAAAATACTTACTACCTGAGCTTTTACACAAAAGTTAGCTGAATCTTGGTCTAGCAGCCGTGGGCAAACTATGGCCCGCAGGCCGGATCCGGCCCGTTTGAAATGAATAAAACTAAAAAAAAAAAAAAAAAAAAAGACCGTACCCTTTTATGTAATGATGTTTACTTTTAATTTATATTAGTTCACACAAACACTCCATCCATGCTTTTGTTCCGGCCCTCCGGTCCAGTTTAAGAACCCATTGTGGCCCTCGAGTCAAAAAGTTTGCCCACCCCTGGTCTAGCTGCTGGTGGACGAGGCCAGATGGAATAGAGAGGTGGTGTCCCAGCGGAGGTCTCTCTAGAATAAACAGCTCCTAGTTAAGCAACCACATGAGTGACCCCAGGTGAGCCCAGCAGAACAGTCCAGCTGAACTCAGCCCTAATTGCAGACCCATAACATGAACACATAGAATGGCTGTTGTTTTAAGCTGCTGAGTTGTAGGCTAGTTTGTTCTGCAGCAAGAGGTAACTAAAAATGGCTCTGTCATTTGATGTATGTGGTAGACACTTTATTCCCAACTCATATTATTTGGGCTCACCACTCCATGCAGACTGGCTGGCTTCCCACTACCAGGATCTGGATCTCTCTGCCCGGGGGCTTTCTCCAAAGCCCTGGCAAGGGCTCTGTCCAAGCTGGGAAATTAACACTCCATCTGCACCCTACCCTTCATCAATGACCAACAGAATTCGGTATAAAAAACAGTCCAGCTCCCTCATGCTCTGGAAGGGATAATTCCAAGGCATACCTAATACACTATTTCCAGGTTTCCTCGCAGGGTAGCATTCTGTTCTCCTACTGGCTTGATATCACACTCTATTAGCAGCCAGTCCTTGTGTCCATTTTTCCCATGACTTTACTGGTATTTCCTGAACACCCCAAATAAGCCACTTTCACTCAAATCCTTGTCACACGCTGTGTTTCAAGTCAGAATTCAAACCAAGAAGACACTGAGCATAACCTTAGACAAGTTTCTTCCTCTCTCTAAACCTTGGTTTTTACCTGTAAAATGGAAATAATAGGAATATTTCTATCCTGGGAGGTGGTTGTGAGTACTTAACTTGAGATAAAGTCTGAGAAACACCCAGCTCTGCTCTTAGTGGTGACAACACACTTTGGCTAAGTCCACATCCTCTGTGCATTGGCTCTGGTGTTGGCCAAGCCATGCACAGAGCTCTGGTGTTGGCCAAGGCACTTCTAATGACCAGGCTAACTGAAGGACTACCAGACACCAGTAAAGAGAGGAAGAGAGCGCGTGCGCTCAGCTGCAGTGTGCTGGGGCTTGTACTGGTTTCCAGTCACGTCCCAGTTGAGAAGCCTGAGCCCCATACCCCAGATCCACGTCTGGAAGACACTGCGGCTCCTGACTTCTGAGTTGGCACACGAGGCTGGAGCCTGCTGCGTGTCCGGCCCCGGGGACCCGCCCCCGACAGGAAGGAGGAACGTTGTCAAGGAAGTGTGCAGACCTGACTTCAGACAATTGAAAAAACATCACTTCCTGATCATGGAAGGTGAGCATGAATTCGACTGTGGCCTTAAAAAGACACGGGGTGGGGGACAATGTTTTTCTTTTCTCCTTTAAGAGAGAAATCTGTCTACGTAAAACCCTCCACTCCTAAAAGCCTATAAATACACACCCAAACCTGGAGAAAAAATTAAGAGCATAACTTCTGCCTCATGCACAACAAAACCTTCCATCTGCTCTATCAAATACCTCCTGTTCTCTTTTAAAGGTTAACTCCTTAACTGTCCTTCCTCATGACCTGCCCCAGGCCATTCAGGGATGTTCAGGGGCGGGCTGGACTGGGAAGATGCTCAGATACCTGCGCAAATCCTCACACCCATGTGAAGGGACTCGGTCAGACCAAGGCGAGGCAGTGGGGGGTAGGGCTCTGGATCACGGCCAGCCCCAGAATGATGGCGACGCTACAATTACCCTGCGGGACAGGGATGGAAGTGACTATTTTAGAACCTGGAAACATCTCAGCAGCCTCTTGGAGTCACATTTGGGAAAGTCCCTTTTACCACCGTTGTCTTCTTTCATGCACTAGGATGTCAGTGGCGGGGACATTTCCTACCAGAAACATCAAGGGATCCGTGTAGACTTTGGAGAAGCTTGAAAGGGTGCTGTGATTTACAAGACTTGAATCTGGCTGAAAATGCTGTTTTTCTTTCAGAAGAAAATATTTTCATTCTAGGGTTTGTAGAGTCAACACAATTAAAATAGCTTGTGGCCATATGCTCTCCAATCTAAGGGCATCAGACCTTTGCAACATGTCTTTGCACAGTCCACACATCTTTCAGAGGCCTGTGCGGATTAGATGCTTGGGGATATCTGTGGTGGAAAATAGAATGTGTTTGGGATGGAGCTAGAGACCTCCTTGGAGCCATTCGACTTGAGGTCATTTGACTTTAGCTTCTCAGAGATTCTCAGGGCCTCTGTTTCCTTATCTGTTACTTACTAGTACACTATAAGCTTCTTCCTCCCCTCCCAGAACTTTTTGAAATGTAAATGGAAAAATAGTATAATAACAGCAACAAGAAAGCTCAGGATGTAGTATGTACTCAAGGAATGTGAGATCCTATCATTAGAGCATCTCTTGAAGTTCTCCAACTTGTAAGAAAATGAAAAAAAGGGAAATCAAACAGAAGTTATTGATTGAGCATAGACCCTTTAATTAGACAACTTGGTTTCAAATATGACCTCTGCTATGTCCTAGGAGTATGATCAAGGGGAATTCATCTTTCACTGCCCTGGTTTCCCCAACTGTAATACAATACAAGGACCCAGTACTTCTGCAGCATTAGATAAGACAATTCATACAAATCCAACACAAAATCTGGGGTTCAGTAGCCACCAGGAAAGCATAGTTGCTCTAATTAGTATCATAATTATTATTTTTAAACTATTGTTAAGACTGATCTTTTTTCATGCATAGAAATGCAGGCTGTCAATCACAAAGCACATACTTGGTGGCCATTCAGAAGGACACAGGGCACTTGGAAGCAATTAGGGTGACTGCAGGAGGGCACACTGTTCCAGACCAGTACACCTGTATGAGCTTGGTGTCATAACCCCTGATGGGTTCCAATCAGCTGGATGAAGATTGACTAAAGAGACTTATTACAAATTTTAGTTAATATATCAATGTATATGAAGGTCTCTATTAAAAATAATAAGTTGGTTGGGAAATCAAGTTATCTAGACCAGTGGTTGGCAAACTGCGGCTCACGACCCACATGCGGCTTTTTGGCCCCTAGAGTGTGGCTCTTTCACAAAATACCGACTTCTGCACAAGGGCCACGAAGTCTCAATCGCACTGTACATGCGCGCCCGCATGTGGTGTTTTGTGGAAGAGCCACACTCAAGGGGCCAAAGAGCCGCATGTGGCTCGCGAGCCGCAGTTTGCCGACCACTGATCTAGACCAACCATGCTTTTTTTCTTACTTGTATCTTAAATAAATTTTTTGAATAGAAGACGAGGGCTGCTTTGAAGCTCAACATGCCTGACATTGCCCAACACCTTGTGCATTACCAGCATTTAAGCACCTGCTCTCTATGTGATACTTCTCAGCTTTCCCTGTATTGCCTCATGCGATACAAGGAGGGGTACTCTTATCATCCACAGTTTAGTGATGAGAAGACCAAAGCTCACAGAGGATAAGTAACAATGCCCATCATCACCCATCGGTGTGTAACATCTGGGAATTTGAACCCAAACCTGCAAGAAACAAGAGTCTCGAGCTGTCGAGCTGTATCTATGCTGAAGCCCTTTCTTTTGGTTGGACCTGACTGTCGGGGCATGGAGTGAGGAGACAAGATATGCAGAGAGCACACTTTATTCGTGGATTCCTTCCTGTCCCAGGAAAATTGTAAAGAAGCTGGGAAGTGCTAAGCAGTGAGTAGACTGACAAAAAGTCAATTTCTTAGTCCATCCCAACTAGAAAGCAGCTTAGCAGGCAGAAGAGTCAAGTACACCAGGGATGACAGCAATTCGAAGGCCTGCGATGTGTACCGGGATTCTCACTTTCCAAAGGGCTTGCCCCATGTCCTGTCTTGGTCCTTTAAACTATAATGGAAAGGCAGAATGAACGTACGCACTACTGGAGCCTAAGCTAGAGAGGGGCTGGCTAGAAAGAAAAGAATTTGACTGCCCCTAGAGGCGTTGCAGGTGTGGCTGCCACGCCCCGCTGGCGTCATTAGGCGGCAGAGAGCAGAGAGGCTTGCCTACGCCCAGCGCCCTGGCCATGGGCGCCTGGATGGTTGACGGCCTGACACGGAAAAAAAAAAAAAAAAACCAGAAAAAACAAAAAAAAAGAAAAACAAAAAAAGAAAAAAAAAGAATTTGGAAACCCTAATATACAGAAGTCAAATATGAATGAATCTCCAACCCAGGGCTTTACATGTGTGCTAAATACACATTGGCTCAATGAGCAGCACAGTTATATTTCCTAACTTCTATTTTTTAAGTAAAAATGGTTTTAAGAGACTCTAGTCATCCATATAGTGTATGTCTGTGACACACATTAGGAAATTACCCAGAAGAAACACTTCATTTCAAGAGGTCACTCGGTTGCTCGCACACTGGTAAACAATTCCTGGTGTGCGTTGGGGGACATCCAAGCAGACATTGGCAATAATCTAAAAAACTCAAGCTGAGGTACTTGCTGGACCTGAGGAACTAAGATGTATAATACATCCCAAATTCATATAGCAGTGATGTTTCAAAAAATCTACTTTTAAAAATAGCATTGCCCTGGCCAGTGTTGCTCACTGGTTAGGGTGTTGGCCTGTGCACCAGAGGGTGGCAGGTTCCATTCCCCCCCACCACCACCACCCGATCAAGGGCACATACCTGGGTTGCAGGTTTGATCCCCAGCCCAGGTCGGGGCACACGTGGTGGCAACCAATTGATGTGTCTCTGTCACATTGATTTTTTTTGCTGTCTCTTTTCCTCCTCCTCCCTCCCTCCCTTCCATGCTTTCTAAAAATCAATGAAAAAAAAATCCTCACGTGAGGATTTTAAATAAATAAATAAATAAATAAATAAATAAATAAAATAATACTGTTACCAAAACAAACATTTGTTCAACACCAGTTCCTCTGTTCATTAGCATAGGTGGTCTGGAGTTGGTAGGGTCAGGGGGGAGGAGGTAAAGGGGGGGGGGGGGCAGAAACATGGAGTTAGTGAGGTCTTATGTATTAGTCCAGAACTTTTCAGAGTATTGACTGAGGCAACAGTGGATCCAGCAAAACAACTGAGCTATGCCAGGCCCTTCTGCATTGGTTCTTTGGTGGAGGCTGGACTGCGCATGGTGGGGAGAGGCAAAACACAGCAAAGAGGCCTTTCAGCCACCTAAGGAGCACGGGGTTCGTCCTCTACGCCTGCAGAGTCCATGAAGAGATTCGAGAATAGAAGTGGGGGATCAAGTTTGTCTCCCAAAGATTGCTCTGGCAGCAGTGCGGCGGCCAAAGAGAAAGAGGCTGTCTTCCTGCGGAGTTTGAAGACCTGGTCTCAGCACCCTCTGCAGCCACAGAGCCTTTGAGAACTGGGTGCTTCTTCCGCCGAATGCCGATCAGGAGTAACCAGGCCCAGCATTTGTATCGGCCCTTTTATTTCTAAAGCTCTCTCTGTTCAGCAAGCAACCATCTAAGGAGGTGCGTCAAGGGGGATCATCCCCCTTCACAGATGGGGAGCAACTCTAAGTAACGAAAGAACCACAGAACAATGCCCAGTGAGAGTAGCTGCATTCTGGTTCTGCCCCGCTTGAGAATGGGATTTAATTAGTGTGGTGAGAAAATGAAGCATGTTTAAAGCTCTGGGAAAAAACTCAATACCCATAAGTACAAATTAATGCTATATAATAATCTGAAAAATATTGGTTTCAAAACAAAAGAATGAGTAACTATCACAAAGATACATAGAGCATACCTGAGAGTCAGAAGACGACTGACTAGGGATCTGCTTATTATGCTGTATATTGATAATAAAATATTGTTAACATCCAACATAATTACCATTTGAATTACAGGTTTCAGCAGGAAAAACCAAAAAGAACGAATTGGGCCCTAGCTGGTTTGGCTCAGTGGGTAGAGCGTCAACCTGCGGACTGAAGGGTCCCGGGTTTGATTCTGGTCAAGGGCACATGGCCAGGTTGTGGGCTCGATCCCCAGTGGGGGGCATGCAAGAGGCAGCCTATCAATGATTCTCTCTCATCATTGATGTTTCTATCTCACTCTTCTTCTCCCTTCCTCTCTGAAATAAATAAAAATATATTTTTTTTTTAAAAAAGAAAGAATTGGGTCAGGTTTGTAACATGGCTGTGCACAGTCAAGAGAAATTCCAGGACAAAACCACAGAAAGGCTCTTAAACATCTAAGCAGCTCCCAGAGTAGAAGAGCAGTATCTTCAGTGATCGCTCCTGACGATATTTCTCCGTGGCGTTTATCTCCACCTGATGCTACTGGTTTTTCTGTTTAGTGCCCCACCCCTCACTGGAAGGTAAGATCTGTGAGCACTGAAACTGGGTTCTCTTCCTCTTTCCCAACTCTTCAAAGAGTGTCAGCAAGTAAGAGGAAAGGAAATCACAATGCTCCATCTTTTTTCCATCTAAAATTCCAATTTGGCACCATGGTTTTAAATTATTTCCTTTGAGAGGTTTACATTGGGCTGGCTATTCACTGATTAAAATGAGAAATAAAAAATCATTTCCTTTTAAAATGTTAAGTAATTTTTAACAGTTAACATGCTAAAATATAATGTAACATAACATAAAATTTACCATCTTTACCATTTTTAAATGTAGAGTTCGGTGCCATATTCTGGGCTGGGCAGCTTCAAAGCGCTGTCTCGGGCCAGCCTTTTCACAGTGCTAATTCCGAAGCAGCGGAGACTGCGCAGTCGGAAATGCCCTACGTTCTTAAAGATTTACGCTGACCAGACTGATGCTTTTCAAGTAGACGGAAATGCAGTATAATATACTTGTGCGAAAGCAAGATAATTTAAAAAATGTCTTTATTGTTAAGAGTATTACAGATATACCCCTTTTTATATTCCTTTGCCCCCCCTCCATCTGGTTCCTGCCCCACTGCAAGCCTTCACCACCCTATTGTCTGTGTCCATGGGCAATGCATATCTATAATAATAAAAGCATAATATGCTAATTAGACTGGACGTCCTTCCGGATCTCCTTCCAGACCACCTTCCGGTGGGTCCCGGGTGCCAGAGGGAAGCTGGTGCCAGCAGCCGGAGGAAGGAAGGCCTACTCTTGCATGAATTTCGTGCTTTGGGCCTCTAGTATGCATATAAGTTCTTTGGTTAATCTCTTCCCACACCCCCACCCCTTCCCTCTGAGATCTGTCTGTCTGTTCCATGCTTCCACACCTCTGGACCTATTTTGCTCATCAGATTATTTTGTTCATTAGATTTCACATATAAGTGAGATCATGTGATACTTGTGTTTCTCTGACTGGCTTATTTTGCAAAAAATATAATAATTTGTAATGCACTGTAAGTAGTGTGGTCTAGTAATAGAACATACATTTAAAGCAATATAATTAACTTATTTTCATCTTGTCAGTATCTCTAAGGAGCATTGAATGAAACTTCATTTGATAATTATGTCAAACATCTACATCTGAAACTTTTTGTGAACTTGACACTTGGTCTAATGGCCCTTGTGACTCCACTAAGCTAGGCTAAGAGATTAATCTCTAATTTACAGATGAGGAAACTGAGTTCAGAAAAGTTATCTCTTGCTCAAGGTCAACCATAGGGATAGCAGAATTTTTATTCAGGTCCAGGTGGGTGTTTGTGATTGTTGTTTTGAGCCTAACCTATGAATTTTCTAGACTAGCTCCTTAGTAATAAAAACACCTTTCCTCACAAAGTGGCCTTATATGTCACCTGGTAGCACAGGCCTCCCTTAAGGAAATACAACTTAATTTAATGGGGTGCTAGGGATAAATTTGGGGGATGTACTCAGCATTGTAATATAGAGTTTCTGACCAGATGGTGTTCACTTGCTCCTAAACTTATCCTTCTGTCTTATGAGATTACTTTTTTTTTATTACTATAGCAATAACTAAAGAGGTGAAGGTCATGGCTTTGATCCGTGGAGGGGTCAGTTCCCTTTTTTCAAGTTCTAAGATGTTATTGCTATGATTGGTCCCATTCCATGGGCAGCCCTGTTGCAAGTTAGAGTGGAGCTAAGCAGCAGTAATCAAATCTCCATTCCTTCAGCCAAAAGCCACTGTGAAATTTCTAAAATATACGTGAGTACATGCTAGGTGTCCAACACAGTGTAGGACATAGTGAATGGTTAAAAAGTAAGCTTTAGCCTTATTGAATGTTAATCAACCATTCATCATGAGGGAGAATTTAGGTGCCAAGAAATTGGGTCACTGTAAAGTTTTCCCCAAAAAGAGTTTTAAACTTTCCCACAGTCAAATTTTTGTTAGAAAAAAATAACCCAGCCTTTGGACACAAGGTTAGCACAGAACAGATGCTGGCAGCCTCGTTGCTCTGAGGGGAGCATGAGCATGCTATTGGTGAGCTCAGTGACTCTTTCTCTCTGCCTTCTAATCCCTACCTTCTATTCTAAGGCCAATGTTGTGGATATAGCAGCTTGAAAATAATAGAACTCTTAGACTTGTGTTTCTGCTTTTATAGACAAACTTGAAATTATTCCTCCAGAATCCCCAAGCCAGGCCACCCTGTGAACAAGCAGATCAGGTCCCAACTTGGATATCATGGCCTCACTAGTACCACACTCATAACCAACCAAGTTACTAGTCTAACATGGAGTTAGAATGAAATCCCAAACTAGTCCCTGAGTTATTTTATTTGGCTCTATAATAGAACTCTCTGCAATAAATATTTTTATTATTTGGATATCTTTTTTTTTTATCCTCAGTGAATTTTCTTTTGGGATATTTTAATTCCAACTACAATGGATCCTTGGGCAAAGGCTTGGGAAAGAGGTAACATGAATAACCACTCCTTTTCACTGTGATGATCTTATAGGCACAAGTTTACAAAGGTCATAGAAAAACGAAGCAATCAGGGCAATCCGAATACCTAAAGGGAGAGCAGGAACAGTGAAGTTACCCCTCTACTTTGTAACGACATATTCTTTGCAGTGTGAAAACTACTCTACATATGACAAGTAGATGTCTGTAAGACACTCTTTTGTCGCATACTTTCTCTACCTAAGAGGGTTTAATGCCCTTACATGGTAGAATTTCAGCATGAAATGAAGACTGACTCAGAAGGTGCTG